ATATGAATGAGTTGGGCTGGGAGGACTCTCATATGAATGAGTCGGGCTGGGAGGACTCCTGCCTGAGCACGGAGACTAAGTGCAGACAAAATCTCCCTGAAGGAACAACCAGTCACGGAATCCAGAGCTCACAGATTCAGTTCAAATGGAAATCTTCTGAAGGGTAGCCACTAAATGTTGGTGGTTACCCCTGGACAGCAGGGCTGGGGGAGCTTTTTACTCAGGAAAACCTAGAAGTGCAGTGGTCAAATGGCTTGGCTGCTAACTGAAAGGTGAGCAGTTCTAACCTACCAGCCGCTCCAAAGAAAAGATGTAACAGTCTGTTTCCATAAAGCCTGTTGTTGTTAAATGTAACTGAGTCGATTCCAGGTTTCTGAGGAGCGGGTAGTGAGCCTGAATCACCAACCTGTGGTTAGCAGTCAGGGCCTAACCTATACATATATAGGGTCACACCCGAAGTCCATAAAGACCGCTGGTAGTTGTGTGCCAGAGGCAGTTCCAACTCAGTGACCCTATCAAGGGTTTCCGAGGCTGTAGATTTTTACAGGAGCAGAAAATACCTTTCTCTCATGGAGTGGCAGGTAGATTTGAACCGCTGACCTTGTGATTAGCATTCCAGCTTGTAACCACTACACGACAGGGCTCCTTCCACACGGACTTGTTAAGAACCAACCTTGCAAACCCTATGCAGTTCTTCTCTGACCTACAAGGCTGAGTTGCAATCGAAGCAACACCAACAGGCTGCTCACTCTTTCATGTTGTTTGGCCACATTGCAAAATTCTGCATCACTTTTAAAATTAAGACAAAAATCTCCAGGCCACACCACCAGCCTCTGCCCTGGCTTCCCAACTTCAGACACGCCTACCTGGCACCCCCTAAATGGATGACTCCCCAGGCTGCCTCCCCCAGACCACCCTCCAAGCCAGTGGCACCATCATCAGCCCATTGCTCCGAACACCAGTAATCAAGCTCGAGCCCTCTGCAGCTCACACCCGGCTCCTCCAATAGGGGACCAGATCAAAACCTCCCAATTCATCCTCCACTCCCACTTCCGCTCACCTCCCCCAGCCCCACACAACATTTCACAACGGGCCCCCTGCCTGCCTCTCCACTAGCCCCAGGAACACGGGTGAGGCTTGGGGTTGGGGAGCCAGCACAAGCCTCCTCCCAGAGACCCCACCCCATCCGCTCTATTTTCATTAGAACTTCTCTCCCCTCCCCAGTCACTCTCTACTCCTGCTGTCCTACCCCCAGTTACGATGAAAGGCCCCGAGGGTGGGTTACTGTCTGCACGGAGCGGCACAAGGCACCCAACACCTGTCGCTGTTGCATGTCCTGGAATAGATTCCTGCTCAGAGACCTCACTACACCACGGAATCGCCTATGCTCAACGGGAGCAGACGGCCAGGTATTTCTCCCGCGGAGTGGCCGGCGGGTTAAACTTCCGATCTTTCCGGAGGCAACCGAGCGCTTAACCACTGTGCCACCAGACATCCAGCCTGACACCGAACCCACTGCTGTCGAATCCATTCTGACTCATAGGAAGCCCAGAAGAGCGTACAACAATCCAGTGTTTCGGAAGCTGTAAATCTTTACAGGGGCAGACTGCCTTCTCTTTCTCCTGCGGAGTGGCTGCTGGGTTCGAACCGCCGTTCTTGTGGTTCACAACCCCGCGCTCGACCCACGGCGCCACCAGGACTCCTAACGCAACGCCTGATGGGTGCCAACAGCCCCGGAGACCTTTGCGTCCCCGCTGGACCGGGCAGGGAGAACGGACGGACGCGGTAGCGGGAAACCACGTCACCGGCCCCCCGGTCCCGACCCCCGGCCGGCGCCCACCCACCGTAAGCGTAGATCCCGCGCAGCAAATCCTCCCGCAGGCCCATGGTGTCGAACGTGGGTGTCACATCCACCTCCTCGCTGGTCTCGAACTCCACCTTGGTCATATCCTCCTCCTTGAGCAGTCGCTTCCGCGCGGAGCCCGAAGTCGCCATCGTGGCCGCGGCTGCCATGACTGCAAGTCGGCCGAGATAAACGCGCGCACCGCTAAAGCGGCTGGAGCCAGGCGATTAAGCGGAAGCAGGGCCCAGCCGTCACCGCCGCCAGGAAGTGACGCCACCGCGCGCCTGCGTACTCGTGCGAGCAGAAGAGGCACATGCGACTGGCTGCTCCTGGGAGGGGCCGGGCGCTCTTGGTCACGTGAAAAGGGAACCTGTCCTAGCCGCAAGGTAAGGGGCGGAGACTCCTGTTCTCGCGTGATCGCGCGAAAGGAGGGCCTATAAAAAGCGTGGAAGCGACAAGGCGCGGTCCGGAGGGTGCCTGTTGGCTGCTTTGGTGTTGTAGATTCTGCTAAAGGGGCGTGTTACTGGGTTAATTGTCCTAAATGACCACCCTTGTATATGACAGGCACCGGTCGGCGTGAAACTGGAGACCTAAAGTACAATGGGAGTCCGCACCTGGGCGGGGTCTCCAGGTGTTTCCGCCCTGAGCGGAAGTAATTTCCCTGACACTCTCAAATATGTATATTACTCGTTTATGCGCTTAGGCTGCTAGTTCAAAGTTTAGGTTGGTTTTTTGTTGCTGTTGTTTTTTAGGCTGAAATCTTACCGTGGAAAATTCATTAGTACTGAAGCCAGATGAAAAGCCCTATTTCAAATAGTTGAAGTTAGGGAGTTTTTGCATTTTTTAACTGCCTTCTGTCAGCTCTGATTAGGTTGTCATTTTGAAGAGACCTGAGGCACTCCAGGATAAGCATTGGACTGCCGACGGCAGGGTCAGCGGTTCAAACCTGCTAACCGCTCAGCCGAAGAACGAGGAGGCTGTCTTGTTTCTGTAAATACTTACAGTCTTGTAAACCTTGGGTGGGGTCTCTGTAAGTCGGGATCGACTCCATGGCTGTGGATTTAATGTGACGGATGAAGGCTCTCAGCAGAGCAAGGCTCCGTGCAGTCAACAGAACGCTGCCCAGCCCTACGCCAGCTCCACGAGCGTCCCTACGTTCAAATCCACTGTTGGTAGTCACCGTGTTTTGAATGTCTTCCAACCTAGACGGCTCATCTCCCTGCGCTCCATTTTTCAGCATACAATTCAGTGGCATTAATTACATTCACCAGGTTGTGCAACCATCGCCACTATTTCCCAAACTTCTTTATCACTCCATTTAGAAACTGTATCCATTAAGCAATAACTCTCCATTCGCTCTTCCCAGCCCTAATCACCACTAATCTATTTTTGTCTATGTACCTGCCTCTCTTAGGTATTTTATATACTGGAACTGTACAGTATTTGTCCTTTGAGGGCACAGTCCATTAACAGAAAAACCTTCTTTTGAGAGGGACCCTTATTCCTATTGGGATTACCCAGAGCCCTTTGTCTTGAGCGTGATGGCAAAAACATAGCTCTCCTATGTGTGAGCTGTTACATGAACTTCTAGCTCCACGTCTACTAAGGAATAGATTCAGTCTGCTTGTCACCCCTGGACCCTTCATCCAAGTTGTTGTAAGGCATTGTAGAGTCACGGCGACCCTATGAAACACTGCCCTGTCCGGCACCATCCTCACAACTGCTGCTGCCACTGTGCCAATTCAACTCATTGGAGGTCTCCCTGTTTTTCACTGACCCTCCACTTTAGCAAGCATGATGTCCTCCGGGGACTGACTGGTCCCTCCTTATAATGTGGTCAAAGTATGGGACACAAAGTCTGGTCATCTTGGCTTCTAAGGAACATTCTGGTTGTACTTCTCCCAACACAGATTTGTTTGTTCTTCTGGCAGTCCAACACCATAACTTAAATGCACCAAATCTTCTATGGTCTTCCTAATTCCTTGTCCAACATTCACATACATGTTGTTGTTGTTGTTGTTGCTATGTGCTGTTGAGTTGGTTCTGAACCATAGCATAGCAACCATGTATAGGGTTCTGAGGAACAACTGGTGAGTTTGAACCACTGACCTTAAGGTTCAAAGCAACTTTGCAGTCCAGCGCATTAACACACAGCACCACACAGGACTCCTTCACATGCATAGGAGGCTATTAAAGATACTATAGCTTGGGCCAGGTGCACTTTATTCCTCAAACTGACATCTTTGCTCTTGAGTACTTTAAAGAAGTCTTGTGCAGCAGATTTGCCTAATGGTATTTCCAATGAAGACGTCATTGGTCCTGCAAAATCCTATCATAGCAATCTCTAGCATCATTACTATCACCACAGCAAGATTTTCCTCTTTGCTTCCAACCATTACATTTCAATCACCAATAATTATCAATATATTTTTTCTTAATAAGTCTTAGTTTTCATTTCAAAAACAGTAAATATTAATAAATATAACCCACATAAATGAAAACTCTTAGTTCTTGATAATTTTAACTTTAAGAGTACAAAATGATTCTCAGACCAGAACGTTTGAGCACTGCTAATGTTGATGGTGGTGTTCAGCACCATCAAGTTGGTTCCAACTCATAGCGACCCTGTATAGGGTTTCCAAGGAGTGACTGGTGGCTTTGAACTGTCGACCTTGTGATTACCAGCCCAGTGTTTATTCTTATTCTACGGCACTTATTCTGAGCACTGCTAATACAGTCTAAAAATACAATGAGATGTCTGTCGCAATTCTAGGCCATGAATTCATGCACTACATTAGATAGATACAGGAGAGAGAGAGCTATTGTTTTCTCAGACATGAAATAAAAGTGCCAGCTTTTACTCTGGTTGAATCCGTTTAGAATCTGTGTACGCCCTTGCACCAGCCATTGTGGTAAAGAAGTCCACATTACTCTTGTGAGTTCAGTAATCTATCCTTGAAGCTGGGGGGGTGGGCTCAATCCACTTAAACTATGTCACTGTTTTAGTGGGGAAAGGGACACATTACTGTTGCCACATAAAAGAGTAGGACTAATCAAAGCAAGCGTATATACTGATTGTTAGATTTTGTTCTAAGCACTCGATTCTCACAAGTATCCCAGTGAATGGTCTTACTGTTGGTTAGGGAATTCAACATAGCCTCTGCCACCGCTTCAGCTCAGAAACAGGCTAGGTGGTGGTGGTGTTCCTAGGTGCTGTTGAGTTCATACTGACTCATAACAACCTTATGCACCACGGAGGGAAACACTGCCCAGTCCTACACCAACCTCACACTCACTGCTACGCCTGAGGTCATTGTTGCTACCGCTGTGCCAATCCATCGCGCTGGGCAGTCAATACGTCTTGATGGCATGTTTGATCAATTTCAACAGAAGAAGTTGTTAGAATTCTTCAATTTTGTCATCACTGGCTCTGCAGGTTGGTGTGTAAATTTGAAAAACAGTGAGAGTAACTGGTCTTCCTTCTTGTTGTTGTGGTTGTTAGGTGCCATCGAGGTGGTACCGACTCATAGCGACCTTATACACAGCAGAACGAAACACTGCCTGAACCTAGGCCAACCTCACTACTGTTGCCACGCTTGAGTCCATCGATGCTGCCACTTGGCCAATCCATCTCATTGGGGGTCTTCCTCTTTTGCTCTGACCCTCCACCTTACCAAACATGATATCGTTCTCCAGCGACTGGTCCCTCCTGACAATATGTCCGAAGTATGAGAGATGAAGTTTGGCCATCTTGGCCTCTAAGGAGCACTCTGGCTGCACTTCTTCCAAAACGGATCTATTGGTTCTTTTGGCAGCCGATGGCACTTTGAATATTCTCCTCCAACACCACAACTCAAAGGCATCAATTCTTCTACGGTCTTCCTTATTCACTGTACAACCAGAAATGTTCCTTAGTAGTTCGTCACTCTTTCTTTCTAGTCTATCTTCATCTGGAAGCTCATCTGAAACCTGTCCACCATGGGTGACCCTGCTGGTATTTAAAATACCGGTGGCATAGCTTTCAGATTCACACCAACTCACAAGCCACCACAGTACGACAAACTGACAGACAAGTGATGGGGTCTTCCTTGTAGGCGTATGGATATTAGCTTATCCTTGAAGCATTTACTTCAAGACAGATCTTGAAATGTTCTTTTTGATGATGAATGTGACACCATTCTACTTCAGTTTGTCATTGCCATCTTAGTAGACTAGGTGATTGTCAGACTCATAATGCCCAATACCTGTCCATTTCACCTCACTTATGCCTGGGATATTGATCTTTATTCATTCCATTTCACTTTTGACAACTTCCAATTTCCTGGGTTCATACTTCATACATTCCATGTTCTGATTATTAATGGCTGTTTACAGCTATTTCTCCCCATTTTGAGTTGTGCCTCATCAGCAAATGAAGGTCCTAAAACTTTACTCCATTCTCATCATCCCAGTTAACTGTACTTTGAGGAGGCAGCTCTTCCCCAGTCATATTCTGAGTGGCTTCCAACCTGAGGGGCTCATCTTCCAGCACTCTATCTGACAGTTTTCCAGTGCTCTTCATCAAGTTTCAATATTCAATATTCTGGTGCTATCTGACAGTGTCCACTGCTAGTCATCAGGTTTTCAATGGCTAAACCTTCCGAAGTAGTCCGCCTCTCCTTGCAAGTCTGTCTCAGTCTGGAAGCTCAGCGGAAACCTGTCCACCATGGGTGAACCTGTCAGCATTTAAAATACTGGTGGCATAGTTTCCATGGTTACAGCAAGACGAAAGCCGCCATAGCATGACAAACTGACAGACAAGTGGTGGGGGTCAGTGAAGTGGACCCTTCCATCACGCTCAGGCTTAGCACCCTCTCTGTTCTCTGCCCCACTTCCCACACAGCTTCCTGGGGACGGGCAGGGGGTGTCTCACCTAATCAGACTATCATGATGGGAGGACAAGGGACATGCATGCTTTGCTCACCTTTGTGTCCCTAGCACACAGTTGTTGTAGTTGTTGTGAAGTGCCGTTGAGTCAGTCCTGACTTTAGCGACCCTGGATAGGGTTTCTGAAGTGTGACTGGTGAATTTGAACCACCGCCCTTGTGGTCCAGAGCTAACCCTTACAGTACCATGAATGCTTAGTAAATACTTGCTGGCTTTCAACTGCGTGCTGCACACAGCCAGAGAAGGGAGGACACAGAGCATGGTCCCACACCAG